CCTTCACCAAATCTTAAACGACGTACTCTGTTAATGAAATTTCTACAATCCTTCTCAACATATGAAATATTCTCATAACCACCGGCTTCAACTACGGCAGAGTTAAAACTCTTGTGCAATGGTATACCAGCGATGTCATTTATTTCAAGTTGTCTTTTCACTCGTGCGTTGATTTGGCGATTACATCGATATAGCTGTGATTTCGATGGGCTTGTTCTATGATTGAGCTCCAAATGAACAGTATTAATACGCCAAATTCCATTAAGTTTCGAACATGCAGTCAATCTTGCTTTGCAACCAGTTTGGATGGTTGTTTGAGGCTTCAAAATTGCATTTGTTCCACTGCTTCGACGGCCTTCCCTACTGCAAGTAAAAGTTACATAACGTACAAACCCATCATCACCCTTCTTTGAATTTCTTTTTCTCACAGGAAACCCAACTTGGTAAGCGTCGTTTTTGTAAAACTCAAACACCGCTCTCTCATCCTTAAACTTCATTCCAACACTAGGCACAATAATATCTGTTCTTTCCCATGAGGTCTTATCATACGGATTGTCATATTCGGATGATAGAACTTCCAAATATCCTGCATTCACAAAGAAATTAACAACAACCAATTAGAATAGTTGGCAAAAAACCAATGTTTCTTCTAACCATTTACCACATGTTTCTTCCAGCTACTTAAAGAAATATAGCACCAATTTTTTATGGATTCTTCCAGCAACCATTTACCACATGTTTCTTCCAACAACCAATTTTTTATGGTTTAAAGGAAACAACAATAATAAACAACAGCTAACTATTTCTCCATTTTGGAAAGGAATATAGCACCAATGTTTCTTCTACCTATTTCAATTTAACCTTACGGTTGAAGGAAAAAAAAAGGCCCCACCTCAAGCATCAAAGTGGATGTGAAAAGGAGAAAAATAAAAAAAACTTTACAGAGACAGGATATGAAAATGAAGTCTGAAAAGGCCACACAAATGTTTTGTTTAACGTTTTCTTCAGTCTATTTCCTCTACAATTAGTCCCCACCAATGAGTATAAAAGCATTGTTGGTGTAAATGAAATTATGAATTGGTGATTTAAAAGAAAAAAAAATCTAAGGTACAACAACTATTTTCCTCAAATGAAACGAAGGTTGAGAAGTCGTTACCCATGGTGGCGCCGGCATCGATGTCGCCATTGTCGGAGTACGCTGCTTCACTATCATCTGCACCTCCGTCGCAAATAGGGGCAAATGCAACGGACGGGGGTAGGAAGGCTTCATCCACCATCGGGTCGACAGCGATGGAGTTGACATTGTCGGCCCGGTTCTCACAATCAGACATTTTCATTCTCAGCTTATTTTCAAATGGGTTGAAAATGAATGGCGAGTTCTATGGAGGATGAAGACGTTGCCTTTACTTTTGTTTTCCTATTTTGTTTTTTTTTTTTTTTTGGGTATAAGAGACATTTTAAAATTCTCGCCACATCATCACACTGTGAAACAAAAGGTGCTGTACGTGTAGCACTACTCTACATTATAACCATTAATTTTTACAACATCATTTCACATTATTGGCCAGATTTGACACATAAGGAATGTCATCATTAATGTCAACAAGAATGTAAATTTAGATTTATTCAAAAATGAAATAAGTAAGTGAAAAGAAATCATTTTCCTAAAAAAAAGGGATAGCAATTGTCCCAAACTTTTCTACTTTTCGTAGAATTTATTTTAACCTTCACTCTGTGCCACCCATAATCTCAAACATTTCAATTTATTGTAGCACAAGGACAAATGGTTGGACCATTAGTTGACCAATAAAATGAGCTTTGATCAAATCTAAAAATGGCAAAATGGTAAATTTGTTATTTTCCCACATAAAACAATTAAAACTAAAAAGAAAAAAGAAACAATTGTTCATCTCCCTTCAATCCACTAAACCAAAACCAAATCAAACCATCCCGCCTTCCACAACCACCACCACTCGTCGTCATCATTGCCTAATGAAAATAGACTCCCAGGACGAGTCCATCGTGCTAATCAAACATCGGATAGGGGCTGTCAAAATCAACCCAACCCAGTCTTATGAAAATGGATTTTTAGGATGGGTTTATTGTGCTCATCAATCGATAGATGAGAGCGACCATACGATAATCCCACAACTGTATCACATCGCTGGCTGTCAGATCTCTAAATGAGCAACAGTAGTTACAGTCCCGAGCACTCCTATTGCAATCTTATTCTCATCTTCATGTGCCAAGCTGAAAATTGCACCGTATGTTCTTGTGATTCTTCAAAACCATTCTTTAAAATATCTATCAACAGTGGGACAATCTCAGTTCTTCCAATCTTGATTTTTTTCAATTTCACAAGAGAAAGATTCACCAGCACCGCTATTGAGTACCTTCAATTCAATAATTAGCTTAAAGTAAACAAAAGCCTTTCAGTGCAAAGAACAATTCGAGCTTCTTCACTATTTGTAGTTTTTCACAACAAAATCATAGCTTGTTCTTGATCAAAAACTTCCAAACTCGTAAGTTTGTTTACAAAATTCTCAACCTCCGACTAAATGCAAGAGGGCTTTGTTGTAAATGGTAAAAAATGGGAATCATTCGCAATCACAGATTCTTTGGAGTTTGAGGTTTAAAAATTGTGATGATTCAATTTCGTTATGGCGATACAACGAGTGGTGGTGGCTATGGAAGAAGGCGACGGAGAGAGATGAACAATTGTTGCCTTGGTTCCAAAATCTAGACACACTACGATTGTTGGAGACTATAGGCATATTTCTTGTTGCAATGTGTTTTATAAAGTTATCACGAAGATCCTTGCATCTAGATTGAGGCTTATTTTGGGAAGCACTGTTGACTAAGCCCAATTCGCATTTGTTGAAGGTAGGAGTATGATGTAAATAATCCACCTTACTTAAGTACTCATGAGGCAATATAATCGAAAATGGGTTGTTCCAAGATGTCTTCTTAAGGTTGATCTTCGTAAGGTGTATGACTCGGTTGATTGGGGCTTCTTAAAGCAAGTGCTTGAGGGCTTATGCTTTCCTACTAAATTCATTTGTTGGGTTATGGAATGTGTCACTACACCTACTTATTCTGTGGTATTGAATGGAAGCATACACGATTTTTTCAAAGGTAGGAAAGGCTTATGACAAGGTGATCCACTCTCACTATTCTTGTTTGTTTTATGTATTGAATATCTTTCAAGAATGCTTTGGTAGCCTCAAATGAGAGTGAATTTAACTATCATCCCAAATGTGGTCCGTTGAAGATTACATACTTAGCTTTTGCAGATGATTTAATGCTCTTTGCAAGGGGAGATGTCATTTCGGTGAAAATTTCGATGGATTGCTTAAACAACTTTACGAATGCATCGGGATAAAGGATGAATAATCTTAAGTCCAGCTTATTTATACCTGGAATACATGGGCAAGATCTTGATAAATCCATGAACTTACCAATATTCCAAAGGGTACAATGCCTTTTCGATATTTGGGCATTCTACTTTCTTCCGAGAAGCTTAAGGTCAGTTGTTTTGCTCATTTTTTTGATAAAATTACAGTTTATATAAGTGATTCGATGTGCTCTTCATTGTCCTATGTAGATAGAGCAGAATTGATTAGAGCGGTGCTTTAAGGAGTCAAATGTTTTTGACTTTCTTTACTACCTATTCCAGCTACAATTATTTCAAGAATCATGAGTCTTTACCGTAACTTCCTTTGGGGGTCAAAGAAGTCTTTGGTTGCTTTGAGGGATGTTTGTTACAGAAGAAAGAAGGTGGTTTGAGCTTTAGAGACATAAAAAACTAGAATTCAGCAATAATTGCCAAGTTTCTGTGGAATATCCATTATAAAAAAGACACTTTGTGGATTCGTTGGGTAGATCAAATTTACCTTAAATGAGCTAGTATTTGGGAGATCTTGCCTAGGAAAGATCACTCACCACTCTTCAAAAAACTGATGGAAATAAGGGATGTTTATAGGCAGATTTTTGCACATGAACAAGCCAATCAGCTCACTTTGGGGACACTACAGCAGAATTTCAGCTTAAATGCATGGATGAATGGTGAAAATTTTTTGTGTAACTAAGGCCCATGATTTTTTTCGGCTTAAGGAAAATGTTAAGTGTTGGGCAACGGATGTTTGGAAACACTTCATCACTCCAAAACACTCATTTATGTTGTGGTTGGGAGCTCAATCCAAGTTACTCACCAAAGATAAATTGCATTACTTGGATATTGATCGAAATTGTATTTTTTGTGCTTCACATGAGGAGACATGTCATCGCCTATTTTTTGAATGTCATTTTTCCTCAAGTGTTCGGAAGATCATTAAGGTTTGGTTGGACATTACAAGAGCCATGACTACCATGGCTAGCACTAATGTGGATAAAGAAGGAGGCCAAAGGAACCTCGTGGCGCAACAAAGCTAAAATGATTGCTTTAGCTAGTTCCGTCTACTACATTTGGTTGGTTAGGAATATGATGATTTTTGAAAATTTGAAACCCCATGTTGAGAGTATTGTACGACGAATCAAAACACACGTGTACAAAGTGATGTTCTTTTTGTATTCTAATGTTTTGATTTGTTATGAGTCGTTAGCGATGTATTGATTTGTATTCTTTTTTATTTGGTTATCTTTTGTTTGATTACTTGGGATTGTCCATAGTAGTTGTCTTTCCATTGTGATTTCATTGTTGTTTCACCCGGGTATGCTCGAAATATCTATATTTGGAATTTGATCTATATAACTCATGTTTAACCGATTAAAAAAAAGGAATGAACGTAGACAAATGTGGATCATTAGATAAGTCCGAGATATTTGTCCTGACTCTATCCGTCTATGACATATGCTGAGTCGTCGGTTGTGTGTGTGTGTGTCTCTCTCTCTCTCTCTCTCTTCTGTGCATCTCTGCTTTGATTCGGTTTTATCCTTTTGCTCTCAGATTTAGAATCCCGACAACATAATTTAATTTTTAGAAAAAGAAAGCAAAAGGGATTATGAATCGTCTTCTTCAATCCACTATCAGGAATGCCACCCAGGTTTTTCCAATGTTTTTGTTCATATATTTCTTGTGTATGTATACAAGTATCTATATTATTCTGTAGTGGGTTTGTTTGTTGCGTGTTTGTAAATCAGTATTTGCTGTTCTTTTTTATTCTTGATGTTTATTTGTAGAAGTCTGTATTTTTATTTTTGTTGGGTAATAAAAATAAAATGTTTCAACGATTAATGTTGTACAAATGGGTCGGTATTTTTTTTTCCTCTTTTTTTTTGACCAAGAATATACTTTGGATGTGTTTTAATGGGAATGATGTCTATCATTTTTTTGGCCTTTTGTGTTTTTTATTTGTTGAATCGAATGGTGTCCTGAATTCTTTCACATTAAAACTGTGATTGTATTGGAGTGCTCTAAACAGATAAGTAAATTAGATGGTGTTATGACTAAAAAACTTGGCATCGTTGGAATGAGGCTTTCTGATGGTCTAATCAATGGGAAAGGACGGAGAGGAGCCCTCCGGGGGGACATTCAAGTGATAAGATTAAATTTTTTTTATGAGAACAGCAAAAAAGGATGATGTAAGAACCCAAACAAAAAAAGCTCTGTTAGGAGGTCTAAGACAAGCCTCACAATCCGTACAGGATACAAGGGAGGGATTTTTGTGGAGGTAGTTGTCCTTTGCGTACTAATTACTTTTGTAGCATATGGGTTGGGGTGTCCTTTCTTTAATGGCTGTTCCGAGGGCTTATTGTCTGTCTGTAGGAGATCAAAGGCAGTCAGGTCCTTGAGATGTGGCTGACAATCTGATTGAGCCGGCCAATGTGTGGGAAATTGACTCCAACTGGTAGGAGTTTGGCTTGAGTATAACATTCATATATGTTTGATTCTTACTATTTTCTCTATTTAAAGCCTGGAAATTGGCATCACTATTAGTATGTGAGTCCGGCTCAACATCCGGGTACTGGGCATGATCTGATACTGAGGTGGTATCATACATCTAGAGAAAAAATTATTTATGTGGTTTTTTTTGTCTCAAAATAGCTTTTTCCACTAGCTAGATAAAAATGTAAGCTAAACTTCAGATTTTACACGATGCAACCGGATCACTCAAGATAGTCTCCTTATAAACACTTCGAGTCTCCTAAGAGATTGTTCCTTCCAAAGCCTAAAACATAAGCCCCTATCATAATCAGTTAAAAATGTCTTATTTGCTATTATTCACAAAATTTCTACTTAATTCTAGGGACCTTGAGATCTGAGGCAGATGACATGTTAATGTGCTCCGTATAACCTGTTCGTTGTTAATTTTGGATTATGTAAAAGTAATAATGCATCTTTCATTTCTATAAACTTTGATATTTGGCCCTTGTTTGGTACACATTAAAATTTTCATTCTCATTCTTCTACTCATTTTCAACCACATATTCTTTAATAAAATAATATTTTCTGTCACATCAATAACTTTTCCTTCATTTCAACCACAAATTCTCCACCAATCTACTATTTCAGAATACATTCTTCCAAAATAATGTGACTCACCCTTGGTTGGTTATTAATGAAATTAATCAACTTTCGGATATCAAATGGCTAACCTTCTCGAAGGATGCAAGCACTTTTGAGTTTGATGCATCAAAGTATGTATCTGAATTGTTTTCAATTTCAAGGCCAAAAGGTGAAAGACTGAAAAGAAATTATGTATTACTCATTGCATTTCAAAATAAATGCTTCTCCACTTGGTTGATGTAGAATCTTGGAGACAGTTCAGCCCTTAATTTATATGACTTTGATACTTGCACTCACTTTTCTGAAACAGTTTTTTTTTTTATTGTTAATATATTATTCAATGAACTGAGACACCTAAACAAGTTACTTTAAGCCCACATATTTACCTGCATTGTTGAAACCATTTTAGGCTTCACCTGCTTGCTATTGTATCTCAACCTGGGGTAACACGTTCTACTTCCATTGTAACAGGCAACCTACGCAAAAGATCTTTCATCTAGTAGAAGTTTGCAGAAACTTCAGGCTCTGGTATTATCCAAATGGAATAGTACTGAGGCATCTGTTCAGAAAGATGTTTCATCTACTGATAATAAAGGGTAAAATGCCTATTATTTTGACTTCCCTTTTCTTTTCCAATGTTAATAGCTGTATATATATTCTGTACTTGAGTGTATACTAAGAGCAAATACTTCTTATTTTTTATGTTCTCAGCTTCAAGGGGCATGATATGTTGGCGCCATTTACTGCTGGATGGCAGACAACGGACTTGAACCCTCTTGTAATTGAGAAGTCTGAGGTATAGCTTTTTTGGTGTTGGTTTCCTTATTTAAGTTGCTTATTTTGGTATATTTTTCCTGTGATTGTTTTCTAACCCTTTTTTCTTATTTGTTGTAGGGTTCATACGTCTATGACCATAATGGGAAAAAGTATCTTGATTCCCTTGCTGGGTTATGGTGCACTGCTTTAGGTATTTATCTTCCGTATGGTATCCCTGATTATACTAATTTTCGGTTGATAGTTTGATGTTTTAGATCTGCTCGTTTGCTCCCTCTTCCTCGTGAAATTTTCATTTTGGGGTTTAGCATTATCTTTGTGTTCACCATTTTACAGTTTCATACTATACCAAATTCTTGAGTGTTTTTAATTTATTAGTGAAAAGGCCTTTTTTTGTTAATAAGAAGGATTAAATCTGTATCTAATCGATTCGCCATTTTATATGCATCTGCATTTTACTGTGGAAATTGACAGCTTCAGCCATTTTTTGAAGGTGATATAGTTATAGGGAAACAATAGGATATTTGAAGCAAAAGAGCAAGAACCTTCTACGCAAGGACTTTAAGGCTGTCCATTTTTGTTAATTATTCTTTGTGGAAAAATTTGTTCTATATTTGTATTAAAATCAATGATTTAACTTTATATTGTTTGGCGATTGAAGGATATGTTATTGATGCAGGACTGAAATGTGAATAACAAATTAAAGGTTCTTGTTCGTAACACACGAATGGGTGTTTGTTAGAATTTCGTTAGAACAGACGTGAGAATTATTGAAATCTACCAAATAATGAGAAATACTAAAACATCTTATCAATCAAGAAAAACAAATGTAATGTTTTCACAATCTTAACAAGTATTTAAAGACTTAAAACAAAACTTAATCACATTGAGATCCTAATTCTGTAGATAAATCCAAATAAAACTAAAAAAATTGCAAAAAGACGAAAATATCCTTAAATTAACTAAAAACAGAAAAATG